TTCTTTTTTTTCCATACTTGAAAATAAAAAATACTTCAGAGCCGTCAAGAAGATCCTAGACCGGTTTTTCGAGAATTTTTTGCGTTTTCATTTTTTTTGCACTCTACGGCCGCTTGATATTCGATCGAAATATTTTTTTTATGATAGAGGATGTCCTTATATGATATGAAAAAAATACGCCATAATGGAAGAGCGAAGCAATGCACCGGAAAAAATTTTTTTTTTTAGAAATTTTTGGGTTTTTCAGTTTTTAGGGGAGATCCATCGTTTTTTTTTCAAAGAAATCAGTCTGTCAACTATTATTCTTTGTTCGTATATGATGGCAAAAGAGTACGCCAACATGTAAGAGGGAAAGAATGCTCCGAAAAAAATTAGTCTTCGAAATTTTTACGTTTGTCTGACGTTTAGGAGAGTTGCATTATTATTACTGAAAGAGGGGTTTGTCAATAGACATTTTCTGTTCTGCTGGATAGAATAGACTATTGATACGGCTATAAATCTTTTCTCAACAACACACTGTGCCTTCCACTAACGAAAAAGTATGGGAAAAAAACAATTTTTATTCTTCTATAACGACAACATTTTATATTTTCACATTTTTACAATACAGAGAAATTCTCCACTCTCTTCGACGACAAGTTCCAACATGCACTGATGAATTATTTACATCACGATAACTGTCTTCTGCGGGTTTTCGTTTAATTAATTAATTTGTTATCTTTTATTATTTAATTTATTTATTATTTAATTAATTATCGGTTAATTAAAAATTGCTCTCTCGGTATCGGAATAAAACAATGGTGTTTTTGAATGGCTGGAATAGCTTTGGCACTATCAAATCTCTCTCTCAACTCAGTGTTGATATTCTCGTGTTCTGCCTTGGTGAAAAAAAAACATCCATTTCTTCAAAATTCTCTTTTGACCATCGAAACAAAGCATCTGGCGTGAGGATTGGTTCACCATAAACGATTTGCAAGCTCTTACGTCTCGCTTCTCTCTTAAAGACAGCTCCACTCCGTCACAAGCACCTTTGCCATGCGCGGTTGCATGAAAATGGGCTTCCGCATCTATGCCAAAATCAGTCTTGTGATGCAAGAGATTCGTGCTCTGAAAACGATTCTTGTAATGTTGTGCAGCTCCATCGATGACATAGATAATTTTCTCCACGCTTTCATAGTTGTCTTTCACATGTTGTATTAAAATCTTCTGTATCAAATAAACAGTGGCAGTATCGTGAGTCGTACTGTCCGACAAAACGACTAAACTCGATGTTGGATTTCATTTTTTTCGCGATAGTAGTAAACAACGGAAGGATATTGTAGTGGAAGGATTGAGCAGCATCTTGAGCCACAAAAGCGTAATTTTCCGAAAAATCACAATTTACTAGTACTTCTCCATTATCCAAATTCTCTTTTCGCTGTTTGACAAAAGCCGATTGTTCTTTAGCGTTGAAGTGATGTGGCTTCAATACTATCAATCGTTCCATTAGAAGATCAATGAATTCATCCATCGGAAGGGTCTGTGTCTGCAAGGTACACCTGTCAGTACTTTGCCACATGCGAAATTCGACCATTTCCACGACAGAATCAGAGAGAAGTTTCTTCAGTTCACATGATAATGATTTCACTCCAGGACAATCGTTACATTCATCCAGATGACAGGCCGGGGTTGGATTTGTACACATCAATTTTGCTAGACAATCTTTGTAATCTCTGAGTGGACAGGGGGAATCTTGAATTAGAGTCGCAATATTAATTGCCTCTAGCATCAATTTGCAATTTTGATAATACGTACGAACACATACCACGTGAGTGCCATTTGCTCTCGCCACTACACATTGTTTAGGTCTCAGCTCGGCAAACTTACTGAAACCGACCTTAGCATCTTCATTCGCATGTTTGTACTTCCGATGAAGGACTTTTAGATTTTCGAGTATCATTCGCTTTTGCTCTACTTTCTTCTCTCCGTTGATCTTGATGGATATTTTATCTTTCATTCCTGGCATGACGCGACTGTGCTCTAGGTAAAAATTGTGTAACTTCTCAACGGTTGTGCTGGGTAGTGAATGACCTGCTTTCGCAGTTGGTGAAGCAAACACTCCTTTAATTTTTCTCAATCTTTTCGATCCATGGAAGAACTGTCGAATTCAGCTTCATCGTCTGGTTCGTCGTCGATTGATATGCCGGAATCATCGAGATGGAAAGATCGACCTGATCTCAGATAACTGTTCATCACATCCAGACTTGCGTCACATGTTTCGGCTTGGAGCATTGATATATCGGGTGGAGTTTCCGAACGCTGAAGATGTGTAGCATTAAGTTTAACCGTGGGGACAGATGGAGGAATGACATAAGTTGGAGCTCTCGTTCGGCATTGAGCACAGATTTTCGCAGACAATGGTAGAAAAGGAAATTTCTCGTGTGGTGTCAAGGAAATCGGACGTAAATTATAACCGACGTGTCCCTTCTCACCAGGAGCCCGCATTGGATTCGCACATCTATCACTCCGCGGCATTCTATGAAATCCGAAGATATAAATTCCGAGAATAAAGATCATTTCTATATAATCAACTTAAAAATTCCGTACCTTGTTGTAAGAATAGAATAAGATAGGAGCTCGGTAATCCATCCACACAGAATCGTATGGTGATAAAAAATCAATCGAGAAATTGAGGTTTTTTTCTAGAATTAAAGTCTTGGAACCGACTGATGATGATAAATCAATTAATTGATTCCGTTTGTTCCTTCCTCTCATTTGGTTGATCATACAGCAAACTTCCGATGATGATAATGTTCAATTCAACCATCTACCCTTCCAGTAAAAATTTTTACGAAAAATTTTTTTTTCGCCGCACTCTTTCTCCGTTACATGATGGTATAGTCTTATGTCATCATATATGAACCAAGAATAATGGTTTACAGACTCATTTCTTTCAAAAAAAACCGATGGATCTCCCCTAAAAACTGAAAAACCTAAAACTTTCGAAAAAAAAAAATTTCCTGTGCATTGCTTCGCTCTTCCATTATGGCGTATTTTTTTCATATCATATAAGAACATCCTCTATCATAAAAAAAAATATTTCGATCGAATATCGAACGGCCCTAGAGTGAAAAAAAAAATGAAAACGCGAAAAATTCTCGAAAAACCGGTCTAGGAGCTTCTTAACGGCTCTGAAGTATTTTTTATTTTAAATTACGAGAAAAAACGAAAATTGTCTTTTTTTATTGATCAAAATCGGATGCTCCATTCAGAAGTGATGATTTTTTGAAAATTTCAAGTTTCATAATGATTATCTCAGAAACAAAAAGTGGCAGGGCAATGAAATTTTGCATGATCACTGTCTATATGTAGTAGTTCAAAATGCACCTACTCAATGATTTTTTCCGGACAAAAAAAAATCTGGTGTGGCTGAGTTGACATGGAATGTCCCATAAGGAAATGTTATGACGTTTGAATGTTCCAAATACGATGCTTTAACGATCTTTGAGGATCACATGGAACAATCTCAAACTCTTTGTAGGAAGGATAATGGTGCTCATTATTGAAGTTCATTGAATTTTTCACGGAATCATTGCGGGCCCTGAAAAGTTTAAAAATTGGCGATCCCCCTGTGACTTTCGTACTGTGTGACTCGTAAAATTTGGAGGTCTCCTTGTGACCCTCCCACGTTTGACCCTTGTGAAAATTGACCGTCCCCTTGTGACCCTCGTGAAAATTTGACCTTCGGGGAATTTGACCATCCCCTTATGACCCTTGTGAAATTTGACTATCTCGTTGTGACCCTCGTGAAATTTGACAATCCCCTTGTGACCCTCATGCTGTTTAACCCCCGTGAAATTTGAGCGTCCCCTTGTCTCGCTCGTCGAGTTTGACGGTTGTGAAACTTGTCTCCATGTGACCCTTGTGACTTTTGACACTTGTGAAATTTGATCATCCCCTTGTGACCCCCGTGACCTTTGACTTTCGTGAAATTTAGCCATTCCCTTATGACCCTCGTGACGTTTGACTCTCGTGAAATTTGACTATCCCCTTGTGACCCTCGTGCTGTTTGACCCTCGGGAAATTTAATCGTCCCACTCGTCACGTTTGACCCTTGTGAAACTTGATCATCCCCTTGTGACTGTTGTGACTTTTGATCCTGGTGAAACTTGATCGTCTCAATGTGACCCTTGTGACTTTTGACCCTTGTGAAACTTGATCATCCCCTTGTGACTGTTGCGACTTTTGATCCTTGTGAAACTTGATCGTCTCAATGTGACCCTTGTGACTTTTGACCCTCGTGAAATTTGATCATCTCCTTGTGACTGTTGTGACTTTTTATCCTTGTGAAACTTGATCGTCTCAATGTGACCCTTGTGACGTTCGACCCTCGTGACATTTGACCCCCTTGAAATTTGACCATTCCCTTGTGATCCTTTTGTCCCTTCTGATATTTTGACCCCGATGAATTATCTTATTCTTGTGACCTCCCTGGTCTTTAAATCCGTTGTGAATATTTTTACATTAATTTTTTTTTTCATTACTTGTCCGTGAGAAAATATCGATCCCATCTCAGAAATATCGATACACCCAATATTGCGACGTGCAAATATCGATACAAAATATCGAATATCGGAACACAAAATATCGATATAAGTGAGTATCGATACTGGATCGGGAAACACTAAATCCATGCACGTATAACTCCTTAGAATATCCTTAAATCAAACCAGAAAATCGACTTGAATAAACCCGAAAAATCTACTTGAATCTAGTCGAAGAATCGACTTGAATCAATACTTTGTTTTGAGTGATATATGTGATGTCTCATAGAGCTTTAACTTCATTAGTAGCAGTATAGTAAAATTATTTAAAATTAATCTGCGATGTGGTCACGGTTTTTGGTACTACCATTTGCTGTATTTTTATTCTATTCTATTAATTATTTTTATCAATATGTTTGTTTGTAAGGAATAGGAAATAAGAGCACATAATTTCGATTATTCTGTTTTTTTAAACAGGTGGTTTGAAATTGGCCCAAATAATGTCTCAATGGCTTTTGAAAGACAAATCTCTAGCAGTAACGCGAAATGCGTTGACCGATCCAACGAAATACCGTTTGGATGACGAGAATCATCGGAGATTTCCAGCTAGCCCAACTTATGATGTTCTTCTCACCGTCATAAACCCAGAGCCTGAGAAACTGAATGTCAACTGGGATCTTCCTGCAATTGTAGAAGGTTTTAACGATTTTTGATCATTGCAAATAATTCTCCGCTTCACCTAAAGAAAAAATTTTCATTTTCCTTAGATTACTTGGAGCTTTTTTTGGATCACGTAGCTGCAGTAGCTAATTTTTCAGTCAAATCTCAATGGCTGTACTTGATGCCACTTGACGTCAGACCGAGACAAGTACCTGACAGCAGTCATTTGGGTCGACATTATGCCTTATCAGAAGATGTCCTACCTCAATTAATAACTCCATTAGAAAAAAAAATCGGTAAATTATTTTGATTCTTCTTCTTTTTCTCCTTCTTCATAGGAGATACCAAGGTGAAATTTGGAATTCTTCGATTGATGAGAATAACGATTGCGCGAATCATAATATATAATTGTTATGGTCCAGGTTCGGTTAATTGTGTTATTGATGAGTATTTGGACATATGTATTGTCACCGTGACACGTGGCGGCGTAACTGGATTATGCTGGATTAAGTAACGAAATATAAACAATCAATGCATTATTTAAGAGGCTTTTTGAGTCTGCACAGATCAGATGTGAATTGGACTCCGACGCGTACAAAAGTCGTAAACTCTTAGTAATCAGTCCGATGACACAGTTACTATAATCAAGTAATAAATTCTCATATTCAATGTCGATAAACCATTGGTGGGATTTATCCCTTCAAGCCTAGAATATACTATAATTATAAGTACCTCCCATGGTGGGTAAAACATTTGATGGTAGGGTTGTTCCGCTACAACGATCAAAGCGATTGAATTTTCAAGTCGACGTACTGAGTGATATTCGCATTAAATTCTCAAATCTATGTACCGAGCGACGTTTCCATTTGAACCAAGTCGCCGTAGGGGACGACGTTGCCTTTTTGGGTGTGACTGACCGACGGTGAAATGGTCAGGGAGCACGCGTCACCAAATAGTTGAGCGATCCAGGAACTAATCGTTCGTACTACAGCGGATTGCAGGTTGTCAGTGGCTGAACTTAATAGGTCTATTGAATACCTGGGTTGTTTGGAGAAGTAGGTAGTATATAAGCCTACTCGGAAGAGTAGATATTGTACAAGCTACTCGCAGAAAAGTAGAAGAGTAACTATTGTTCGATCGGCATAAGCTAATTAATTCTGGCAGTGGATCTGGACGCGTAAATACAAATAATTTTCCTTTGTGAAGGTCACACTCGCTTGATTCAGTGGTGCTCGGAGCCGGAGAGGAACCTGCGGAAGTATTGTAAGAAGTTACCTTCAGTGCAACGCAGAATTTGACAGATCAAGATTGGTCTGGTGAAAGTATACCACGAGTGCGACAACAGTGGATGGCTGATGCACTTGGTGATTTTAGATATAATCTACGGAGATATTATTCATTCAATTCGGATGATAGTCTGTCTGATGTGGATATGAATTCACTTCACGAATTATGAAATGCCGTCAGTGCAGAGGTAGAACGTATGCGGAGAGAATTCGAAAGTCGGCACGGAGGTAATGATCTAGGCAAGCATTTGGGAGATGTGGATGGATTAGCAAACAACGTCTCACCTGAGCGACCAATGAGACGTCACGCTAGTCAGGTGAGGAAGGACCATGAGGATTTGATATCACTGGCTTCCGGAAGGATGCCACGTTTGGTTTCAGCGTTCCGCCGACGTTTCGTTTCATTCGAACATTCATCAAACATTGCAGTCTCTATCTTTACGGCTGTGATCTCCGATAATGGGGGTAGTCATTATATATCCTACTCTACGATGGTGGGGGAAGTAAGGAGGCGGGGGGTTAGCCGATCATTTTTAATTGACCGGCTGATGAATTAAAAATGATTGGCTAACCCTCCGCCATTTTTAATTGACCGGCTGATCAATTAAAAATGATCGGCTAACCCCCCCCCCGCCTTCCTCATACCCACCACCAGTGGACATCTTTTGCCAATCCTTGCCCCTGATTGAGTACTGCCTGACTTCTACATACTTCCAGTTCGAAGGCGAGTTCTATGAGCAAATAACAGGAGCAGCGATGGGTTCTCCCATCTCCTCGATTATTGCAAATATATTCATGGAATACTTTGAGAACCAAGTATTGCAGTCAGCACCTCTGAAATCCACTGTATGGTTCAGGTATGTGGACGATACCTTTATCATCTGGTCATACGGGAAGACTGGTCTAAATCATCTCTTGGAGTTCTTGAATTCTCAACATGCGAGCATCAAGTTTACCATGGAAATTCAGCAAGACGGATGTCTCATTTCTAGATGACCTCGTTCGACGCTATGAGGATGGCACTCTAGGCCACGAAGTACAGGATGTCCCATCTGAAACAAAGCAGCCAAATATCTCCCAAGGCGGGCAAGTAACAAAAAAATATTTGAAACACAAATTGCAGGGTTCCGAGGGGTACATTCGATACATGTATTATTTCGAGCTATTAGAATTATGCTTGCAAGCTGCAAACATAAAGTACTTTTTTTCTTAAATAGCAACCGCATTTTCTACCTCCAACGAAACTTGTTCTTCTTGATGAGTTGTTCTCAGATACCTCATCCTTTACATGATTTCCTTTAATTTTACTCGAAAAATGCCACAAAAACTAGTTCTGTTGTCAAATTGAATATTCACACATCCTTTTTTTTAAATCTAGCTTCCGAACTCATAGTTGAGCTCATTCAGCTTCATCGAAGAGAAGATATAGACTAATTTCTATACATATTTACATTTTCCTTTTTACATAATTATCATTTTCATAACTTATTTCATTTTTCATATTTTCAGATCGCATTTTTTCAAAAACTTCGAGATTGCCTTGATATCTTTATAATTTAGTGTACTCAATATTTTCTGTATCTTATATGGTTTTTTTGTTATTTTCTTTAATTTCGTTGAGAAGTTCCGTTCTTTCCTCTCTGTAGGTTGGACAGCTCCACAAGACGTGATTCAGATTTTGTACTGTGTGCCCACATGTTGAACAGGCTGTTGAATTGACTACATTAATTTTTTTTAAGGAGTAGGCGAGGTTGTAGTGGTCGGCTCGAGCTCTATTAACCTACACGATTTCTTCTCTGGAGAGAGTTGTAAATTTCGTAAACCATGGTTTGGTAGTGTTCTCATAGAATTCATCAAAGTAATTTTTCCCACGTCTATTTCCTCGTTCCACTGTGTATTTATTGGTGTGTTCTCTCATCTATCTCTTGAATAATTCTGTGAAGTCGGGGAAAGGAATTCTACTGAAATTGTTAGTTTTGACAGTTGTAACGTTCTTTGCTATATCGTCCACGTAGTCATTGCCACGTATTCCTATGTGTGAGGGAATCCATTTAAATTTGGTAAATTTTTCGCCTCCTGTCTCCTCTTGGAATCTGTTACAGTTTTTCTTTATCTGCAGGAGGTGCTCATTGGTTCTTATGTTCATCCTTGGATATTGTAGGGCTTGTAGCGCGCTCATACTGCCTGTTAATATATAGAAATTTTTATCAGTGTGGCGAAGGGCAATATCCATGGCTGAGTCAATGGCTAGACATTCGGCTGTATATATTGAGGCTTGCGGATAAATGGCGTGGGAGATCTCCTAGTCGAGCTCCGGACAGAAGCACGCGGCACCAGTGCGCGGATTCCCCAGGATTTTGCTGCCGTCGGTGAATATGTAATATACTTCATTTTGTTCGCTGTCGATGGTCTCTGGTATTCTTGTAGAATTCCTGGTCTGCTGGATCTCTCTGCCTATTCCAGTATCGATGGAGATAGAGGCCATAATGTCTCTGTAGTTGTGTATATAGATGTTGTATTTGTTGTCGATGGTCAGGTTTTCCTTGATTGGCGAGGTTTTGGACATGCACTGATGAATGAGTCGGTTGTATTTTTTGGCCTTGTTCTTTCTCCGATTTGTTGATAGGTCATTGAATATTTGAGTTATTTTCAAGTATCTATTGGAGTAGGTTTTCATTAAAAAATTTTTGCATGAGAACTTTTCCCTTTCACAGATCAGTGACAATTTTGATTCGACCAGCAAGATATTGGTTGGAGTGGATCTCCTGTAACCCATCGCTGCTCTTATTCCTTCATACTGTATTCGTTCTAGCAATTCTTATTTTGGTTCATGGGATAATAAACAAATAGTCCATATTCCATGACTGAAAGTACGAAGCTTTTGTATAACATCAGCAGTGTTTGGGGATCGCATCCCCACCATGTTCCTCGAAGGAATTTCACGATGTTTAATGCTCTGAGACATTTTTCTCGGATGACATCAATATCTTTGGAAAATGTGAATCTCCAGTCTAGCCATATTCCCAAGAATTTAGTGTTTTCCTCAGATGTAATAGCGAATACGCCTACCTTTATTTCTGATGTTCCAGGTATCATCTTTCTGTTATTGAAATTTATTAATTTAGTCTTCTTGTGGGAAAATTCTAGATTCACCTTCTCCAGCTCCTTCTCAATTGAGTTGACTGTATTTTCCAGAGTTTTTTCACATGTTTCCAAACAGTATCCAGTGGTGTAGACCGCTGTGTCGTCTGCGAATTGTGATGCTGTTATTCCTTCTGGAAGGTTTCGTGTGATTTCATCTACGTAGATCGAGTACAATGTGGGGCTCAGCACACCTCCCTGGGGGACTCCTTTGTGGACTTTCCTGGTGCCTATGTCTTCATTTGTTGTAGAGATGGTCCTTTGGAACGTCAGGAATTTTATGAGTTTGACAACTTCTTCAGGATATCCAACTTTCATTAGCTTGTCGAGTAGAGTGTTACAGTTAGCGTTGTCGAATGTTCCTCGTACGTCTGGGAATGCTGCTAGCATGTAATCACCTTTGGCAAATGTTTCGTTGATTGTCATCATCAAGTTAGCTCAATTGTTACTGGACAATGTACCTTTTCTGAATCCTGTTTGTGTATTATTTAGGTAGTTTTGGTGTTCTATCCACCAATCCAGCCTATTTTTGAGCTTTGCTTCAAGTAGTTTACATATATATGGTATGAGAGTAATTGGTCTGACGTCGGATCTGTTCGATTTGGGGATGAAATGTACAAAGTGGGATGTCTACTCCTCTGGGTATTCTCCGGCTTCAAACATTCTATTAAATATATCTAGTAGAATGAGCTCATATTTTATTGGTAGCTTTTTGATTATAACGTAGTCAATGCCATTCATTCCTGTCGAACTATGTGTGTTGCCAGAGTTTACTGCAACATTGAACTCCGTAGAGTCGAATGGGGAGGAGAGGAAGTCATTGCCCGGGCAGTCCGGAATGTAGTCGAGATTGGTGGAGATATAGTCAG